TATATATATATATTTTATAAAACCTGAGGGAGGAACTGTTTGCGGAATCCGTAGTTGGTGTCAATGTCAAGCCTTCCCCCAAGACCTTTGGGAATGGCCTGTCTGTATCTGCACCATCCTGTTGTCGTCATCCCCTGTTTTTACAATAATTGCTGAGATCTTCATATTCACAAGTTTTTTTTTTTCCATTTCTGAAGCAGGGAAGAAGAAACCTGTTCGATGATGGGAAGATAACCACCGACGTCAGGAAGAATGGAGCCGTCGTCGAGAATGCCGCCTTCACCCCCGACTCCAACGTCGATATCATCACGACCCATCATGTATAGAACATCGTATATCTGGTTCACCGCGTGCCCCGCGTTTGTCCACGCATTTGTATTGATGGTGATCCCCTGACACAGCATAGAAAACCAGATCAGATCGCAAGCGAGTAGCTGCAGTAAACTCAGGGAGGAGAAAGAACTGAGGAGAGTGGAAGATGATGATTGGTGATGGTGAAGAAGTGAAGTGTGTTCAACCTCGAGACTGAATTCTGATCTGTTGAGCTTCAAGAGGTACAAGAGGGCGAAGAAATCGTCGGTGTCCACATCTGTATCCAACAGAATACGATGTGGACCAGCCCGAGCGAGGTCTAGTCCTAACAACACTAGAACCGTGAAAGCTTTGATAAAAAACCAGAATATCTTCGGCTGCAGCATCTCTGTCTGCGAACTCCGATCAAAACCCAGGCCCTGTTTCTGCAGATGGAGAGAGCCCAGGTGAAAAACAAGACAAAACAAAGATTAAAGTTGTTGTTTTTCGGGAGACGAATGGATCAGGTAGAGAAACTATTGCATCAACCTGATTTTCTGTCTGCGCTTAAAAGCCAAGACCCAGAATTTGTTCCACCAAAAGGGAGAAGACCCAGATTATAAAAAGATGAAAAGAGCGAGAAAGTTGGCTCCTTTTACTTGGATTTGCGATGAATCATCGGCACAAGAAACTGTACATTATCCTCTCCAGGGAGAAACACAGGAAAGTGAAGGAAAAGGAAAACTTGGGGCAAAGCATGTCGTGACTGTGTTTGTGGGTAAAAGACCTTTTTTTGTGATAAAAACACCACAAGGGAAAGAAGAGAGAGACGTGAAGAGCAAATAAAAAAGGAGTAATAGTTGGTTGGCCATGAGGGACCAACATGGACACAACCTCTAATTCCGGGCAAAAACTTAGTCAACCCCTTTGAACATGTTTTGATACAAATCTCTTTGTTTTTTTTATATATATTTTGATCGGATTTCAGGTTTAAAATTTAGGGTTTAGGGTTGTACGTGTATAATCTCTCTCATGTTGATGATGCAATGTTATACGATTTGCCATCGTCTTTTTTTTTTTGTATAAACGTGATTTTCAATATTATGATTATTATTTCGAGGAAAACAATTTGAAAAAGGTGGGGGAAGGAGCACGTGAGATGGGCGAGAGAAGCGCCGGTTGAAATGATCGGGAAAGAGACTTTTATTACTTAATGACAAACGCTCTCCTCAAATTGCGACTTTGACAAGACAATTCGAGTTTGGATTATGTCTTAAGCCCCTTTAGATTCAATCTATCTCTTCTGTCTCTCCACACACACACACACACACACTTATGTACACACATATATATATCTTAAGGTTAAGAATGATTTTTCAACGTAGCTAAGGTTGAAAGAAAACTAGTATGCATTCACACACACATATATACATACACCTATATGAAACGTGTGTGGTTCAAATCAATATATTATTTTTTTTTTGGGTAGCACGGTGTTTTCTTTTGATTTTAATTGTGAATTTGTAGTAAACTTCAAAAACTTGATGTGTGAATGAATGAATAACTTTTATTAAAAGGACCTCTAAATTTATACATATGAACGTTTGGTCAAACAATTTATCCACGAGAAACATATATATATACATACATAATATATATATATATATATGGATAGATATTCGAGTTTTGGGAAAGTAAAAAAAAAGTGAAACATTTCAACTCAATAAAAAAATAGTTTTAGTTATTTATAATACGAAACTTTTTTTTTTTAATTTAATACGAATACAACCCGATTGAGTTGACGAGTGGAGGAAAGGGATGGGATGAGGCAAAATCTTAATGACGTCATATGTGGCGGCTTTTGAGATTTTCTTTGCTCAATAAATAAATAAATAAATAAAAAGTAGTGAAATATTTCTTTTAGTCTTTAAACTCGACGCGTCTCATTCGCCATACTACACAAAATTTTAAAATAAAACTATGTATATAAAGGTTGATTTATCGACCATATACTTATAGACGTGGCCTTATGGAATCATTTGTGTTTAATACAAATTAAATTTTGCATTTGATATTTTTACTAGTTACACATATCAAAATACATTGAAAATATATCTTATTAAAACGAGGGCCACACTATTCACTAAATCATTCTCAAGTAATTGTTATATGAAAATTGCCATTGTTCATTGTTGTGTATTTTGGATTAGATCTCATCCATTATGACAAAAATCTCTACATTTTATTTTTATTTTTTATTTTATATATATAAAAGCTATTATTTTGTTTGCTTTTTTATTTTTTATTTTATTTCGGGTGTCAACTATCAAGCATGCCTTGACTTAGTCCAATAATATAATTAAAAGGAAGAAAATCTTTTTTAATTAATAATAATTTTAAAAAGAGATACTTTTTTTAAAAAAATTATTCGGACACATGATGGCTTTATATTGAATTCCATTATATATTTCCCTTTTGAGTTTGAGGCCAAGCTCTCTAGCGGGTGCGTCAATATTTTTCTTTAGCATTAATATCTTCGAAATCTCTAATGGTAATCATAAGTCAATGATGTTTGTATGTATTGATTTGTGCTTAAGGTGAATCTTTGAACAAAACTTGTAATCTCCAATACCATTATGGAAGAAAAAAATAATTAAAATGTATGATCCATTGAGTATCGGTTATGTATATTGGGTTTAGTATTATTTGGTTTTAAAAAATGTTCGGAATTATTTTATTTTTCAATTATTTAAACATGGTATCTCCAAAAACTCAAAATCACGAGAATGGATTAATCGAAATTCCATGTTAGAAAATGATAGGGATTATGATCTATGATTTACCATGAATGTGTTTCGACATGGGGTAATTCGACGTAACATAGAATCACAATTCAAGATATGTTATATGTAGATATATTGTATAGTAATCGTTTCGGATATATTTTATTTATGATGTTCATTTATATATACACAATAAAAGTTCTATAAAAGACTAGGATTTAAACTTAAAAATGCTATACAATTAAAATTACTATAAGGTGCACTTTAATTATTCTTACTGCAGTTAATTAGATCATATTATGATTATCTTTACTATTTCAGTCCGCAATAGCAATATTTTTCAAACCTATTTACGCATATTCCTTATCGAACTAAAGAAGGGTTCAAACGAAAGAAATTGATTTTTATGTTACGTTATCGATTATCCATAAAAAAAATGTGTGATTTTTTACTTTAAAATAATGATAAATATTATACATTTTTATTCTGATACAAAATAATAGGATTTAAAAAAAAAACATAAATCATCCCTCCTCTCTACAAAAATGGACCCGAATAGAAAATAACTTTTGCACTTTTTCACAGTCACTATATATTATTACAGAAATATTAGATAAATCAATGCCTTTTTTCCTCCGCTTAATAGTAATATTCCATGTTTTTCAAAAACGGTGGATCGATATTCATTAAACCCTATTCAATCATACATATACATATATATATATATATATATATATATACATATCAATGAGCTTTGTCGTCAACCCGACCCACAAGCTAAATCACCACAATATCACAAAATGGTTTTGTTTAAAATTGATAAATTAAATATCAATAATAAGAAACGATGAATGTTAAAACTAACAAATCGAGTAGTGTACGTACCTTTTGAATTCAGATATGCAGCCAACTAGGGATTAAAAAAATTCTGTCCAACTTATTTTATTTTTCCAAAAGTCGTAGGATAATAACTGGATCCGCCATGACAGACAAAAACCCTAAAAAAAAAATCACAACTTGTAATTAAAATTGATTGGTCAGAATTAAAGTTTTAAAAAAATAGTGTACACTAATAATAATAATAATAATAATAAAAATAATAATAATAAAAAGTCATTTATAATGAGAACATGACTGCTCTTTTCTAGGCAACCAAAATAGAAAGAAAAAAAAAAGTCAACGGGCAACAGATTCAATAGATGGAAATTAGAATTACTTGTATTTACATTTGAATAAATACATAAAATTCTCTTGTAAAGGTACTAATTTGGGATTTTCTTTTTTTCACCTCACCAATGTTCTGTGTTTTGTATAATTTATGTCGCCATTTATTGATTTTTTTTTTGTTTTTGCAAAGAGGAGAAAATTGGGATACTTGGTTGAATTCTACAGTCACGTGGAAAATATGATGTAAACATCACGTGACGTGGTCGCTTCTAATTGACTGAAATTCCCAAATGCCCCTCCTCCTGACAAGAGAAGGCTTATCCACGTGATCTGTCCTCGTATCTTCTCTCTTTTTCTTTTATTTTAGTAACTAGTCAAAATACGGTTTTTTTTATTTTCTTTCAAAGTAAAAAAAAAAACATTTTCCTTTAGTAAGGTAGGAGCCAAAGCCGTTTTGCACTTTCAGATTTTTTTTCCTCGTAATCCGAAAGTTCAACGGATCTTAGGTCCGACTACATCTTCCAGAAGATCGGGAAAACCCAGGTAAATATCCCTATTCATGCTTTAATTTGAACCTAGGGTAAGAGCATGCTTTGCAAGTTCTCTCAACACTAGGCTATCCAAGTTTGGGTTGCATTTTCAGTTTTTGGTGGTTATTATAAAAAAAATTTCTTTACTTTAAAATTTGTTTTTATTTTTGGTATATTTTGCCAAAACTCCCAAAAGATAAACCTAAAATACGTGATATTTTACTAATATATATATATATATATATATAGTCAAGGTTTTTTTCTGAAAAGTTATATTCTGATTTTTTAAAATGTTCAATTTTTTTAGAAAAACATTATTTATTTTTTTAAAAAAAGTGAGATTAGTATCCTAGAATTTGCAATATACGAAAGAGGAGATAATTACTATTATACGCAAAAACAAGCATAGGAAAAAAAATAGAAATGAATCGAGGAGGAGGTCCACACAAAAATGTCACACATTTGAATGCAGAAAGTGCATCCCCACATGATCTCTTTCATCAATGGTGGTGGAGAGCAAAGCATTGACCATGTAACCAAAAAACAAATTTGCACAAAAAAGTATCTACCATGGAATATCAAAGCATGCTTTGGCATCACCACGATCACAACATTTCATAAATTATAAAGAAATATTTAAAAATATGTATGGTAATATTGTATATTGTGTATATATATATATATACCATACATACATATATGTAAGGGTCTTATGCTTTTTGTACTATGATCGAGTGTTTGGTCAAAACCCACTTTAAGATTTGCTTTTGCCAGTGTAATGATAAAAGTGAATAATTAGAATAATGATTATAATTATAAAAAAAATGGGAGAGGGAGGATTAATGTGGCCTAAGTAGATTTGGTTTAACCATAATTACTTAATTAGTGCATGCTTTGAGGCCCAATTGCAAACTATTAAGTGGACAACTTCATCAGCTTTCCACTCCCAATACCTCTCTCTCACCATTATTTGCTCTTTTTGGCGTTTGGACGCAATCGTCATCGATGATGCAAAACGAGGAAAATGGCCATTCTAATTTCTAATTACAATTCTCAAGTATTTTAATTTTTTTTATTGAAAACATGATTAGGGTTTTGAATGTTGAGATATTAGAATTCTTCGTCAAAAATGATAACAGCACTCCAATTTCATTGAAAGAATCTACAACATTAGGTTGGGTATTTGAAGTTTGTGGATTCAACCATCAAAACTCTCATTAAAACCAGTGGTCCATTTGATTATATTTTCATCCAATTTCTATATAACAAAAAACAGATACATATCTTAACATTTTCTTCTTCACCGTCTTCCAATTTCAGTTAGAAATCGTAACTCAACGTGTTACAGAAACAAAAGGAAATAAATCATCAAACTGCTGTTATTACAGTTGCCGCAGCTGCTCAAGCCTTTGTAAACCGAAGTTCGTCGTCCCTTCTGATGCCATGGAGCGGAATCAATCATCATCCAATGTCTGAGAAGAAGCTGGGCAGTGATATATGTAGAGAGAGAGAGAGAGAGAGAGAGAGAGAGAGAGAGAGAGAGAGAGAGAGAGAGAGAGAGAGAGAGAGAGAGAGAGAGAGACTCTCTGTCAAGTTTCGTGAGCCAATCTCGTTCTGACGGCCACTGCAAATGCCGTGACCCTGTTTGGATGGTACAGAACCGCACATACCGTGAAACAGAGGATGAGTGTTGTGATTATGAATGCGGTTGGACGGGATCTAAATGCCTGGACAGGGTATACCGGGCTGCAAGAATTCCTCGGCCAGTCTCTGACACCGTCCACGTTCATTACAAACTCTTTGCTTAAAAGAGGGTCAGTTTCTCTCCTGGCCACCCGCTGCTTCCCCTGCTTGGAAACTAATCCTGCCTCTGGATCCTGTAACCAGAGTAATGGGTCCGTTAATGGCGAAGGAAATTATGGTAGGAGCCTGTAAACGGATGTGTAGGACAAGATAAGATCGAAAACAAAATAAACTATTGGATTGTATCAACAGAAAAAAAAGGAACCTCAGACACTAGTTAGTTCTTTACCTGATTAATGTTTGATGTTCGTGATGGTGCGTCCTTCTGGAAACTGCTTTTGCAACCGCAGCCACAGTCACAGCCACAATCACAATTTGATGAAGGAAGATCGTTTCCAAAGTTTGTCATTGATTGTTCATGGCTCTGACGTTTCCTGTTGATGTCTCTGGCCATATTCATATTTTCATGTAAGAGTCTCACGTCGCTATCACTTGTACAGTGAATCACAGAGTCAGGTTCCATTTTGTTCAACAGAGTTTCCAGATTCTGCAGCACTTTCTCCAATATGGAAACCGAATTACTCCGTATCAGATAATCCAACACCCGATTGAATCTCCGTATCTGACAAAGATTCATGTTCTGTCCCCTGCATTCTGAAGTGGGCGCCTTAACTGACCATGCTATATCTAACAGGAGCCCAGAAAAGGCTGTTTGCCTCTGCCGATCTAATATCTCCGGGTTATCTGACTGGTTAATTTAATAAAGAGTGTAGCATTGAACTTCTGCTCTATTAGTTTCATTTCGGAGCAAATAGCTTCATCTCCAATAATTAGAGGAATGAAATTTGAAAGGCCAGATTCATTCTCAACCTACAAATACCATCAAAGGGCCAGAGAGTATTATTAGACAATACAAAAATCAGTACAATCAAATGTGTTATCTAAAACCTGTACCTCGACAAATGCAGGACCAAAGAGATTTGGGTCGGAGTTCACAACATTGATCTTGTACAACTTATTACAACAACAACGAGAACTCTTCCCGTCCTGGTTGGGTGAAGAAATAACAGAATAGTTGTAAGGTAAGTACTTCCCAGAAAAAGAGACAAGAAACCTGGAATCAAACAATATTTTCTGTAAGCCCATATGTGTTTCTTTCCCTGCTTTGAAAATTATAGTAGTCTTAAATTGAAGCTACTACCGCAACATATGGGAGAGTTTAAGACTAACAATACATGATTGAGCATGATTTTACAGATCAATACTTGCATACCGAAATTTTGGTTGCAGGAAGTTCCGTCCACAAATGATGAGTTCAATTGGTTTTCCAGCTTTAAAACATGTTGGGTAGACAAATTGAAGTCTTGGGGCCTGTAATTTTATATCGACTCTCTTGACAGAGGTTCCACCTGCACCAGAAAAAGAACAAATCATATTAGAATGCGCAAGCAAGAATATTACTTGGAAAGAAAAAAGAGAAGTTGCAACTAAGCGCAAGGCGTGATAATACAGTAATACTAGGGAAAGAAGTAAAACCGAGAAAAAGCAGAACGCATCAACTCGGGCTACTTGCCTCTCATAAGACGGAAAATCATGTTGTTCAAATAAACAGTCATCGAGCCTCTCCCAAACAGCATCTTTCCAGGTTTAAGAATAAACTCATCCAGATAAGCCACGGGATCTTTAGATAACTGCTTGCGATAACAGAAACGAAAGAACCGCAAAAATAACAAAGTTAAATAAGAGATATTTAGTTTGGGATTTCTCCCTCCGAGAAGCATGAAGGCATCCAAATAGCAGAATACAGATGTCAGTGAGCTCGAGAGTAAGCGTCCAGGTGAGCGACTTAATTGTTTATGATTAATCTTATTACGGAATTCCCTAGACATGCAGGGTATCTAGATACACTATTGAGAAGAAAAAATTTCTGATGCTACACCCTTTAGACAATAACGAGGAGCAAGTGATAACAAAGTGTACCTTAGCCCACATAATCTCAGGCATTGCAATAAAGACAGTCAATATCGTACATCCAGGACGAATATAGCTCTCCAACTCCACAGGCATGGCGGCCAGCCACTGGAATATCTGCAAATTCATTTAATGATATGACAATTAGGTCCTAAAGTTTCTGAAAATAATATATTTACAGCCCTCCGAACACTAAAACTGCAACTTCAAGAAATAACTCTTTGAGATTACTTGATGCCGCAGTCTCCTAGGGAACTCCGCTGGATTCCAATCGTAAAGTTTGAATGAGATTCGACCAGTTGGGCACTATAATGAAGCACAAAATTAGAACATCAAGCATGAAAGAGTTCTTGAGGAGAGAGTAACAAAAAAGATATCCCACCTCAGATGAGTAAGCACTTCTGTTGTCACCATAGAGAGGTGAATGTTCAAATTTCGTGTCATTCTTTCCTTCATCTGTCTGAGCTGCAAAAGATACAAAACTATCTGCATTGATACTCTGGGGAATAGGTACAGCTCCCTGCCCACAATTTTTTTCATATTCAAAATCCAGTGAAGCCTCTTGTTCTGCTCTCTGGTCAATTGAGCAGATATTGTCTGCAACAGATTAAAATAAAGGTACAAATCGAGTTAGGTTTATTTTCCACGGGAACTTTGGCAATGCTACGTAGGAATGTATACTTCCGGTTTGAAACTCAGAAATCTCAAATGAAACAAGCAACTAAAAAAAAGAATCGACACGATGAGATGCTTTGATCCATCACTCTTTACCTTTTTCATCGTCAACATCAATTACGCTGTTCTCATTCTGCAATGCTGCTTGCTGATGCTTTTCATCTCCGTCTCCTTTATCTACGGGTTTTCTTTTACGCCTGTTGTTGTGACGCTCAAGCTTTCTTCGACAACTGCGTTTACCTTCGTCGAAATCTGACAGCATATGAAACCTGCCATGTGGACTCCTCATAGTAAGACAGGGAAAAGGGGAGCCAATACAAAAGAACTCAGGGACCCTTTTGAGCTATGAAATTCCCTTGTTACATCAAAAACAAGAGCGAAAGTAATCTGACCATTAGACAATTGACAAAGAAAATCCAACGATATTTCAACTCATTATCATCTGAACAAAGAGACATAAGTACAAATTAACGATAACATGGTGATCTTAGTCAGCTAACACAAGCATTTCAGCTAATATCTCCGGGTTATCTGACTGGTTAATTTAATGTAAAAAGAAGTTTCAGTTGATCTTCTTCAATTCCTTGGCCCCAGAACTCGCTAAGAATTCCTTGATGATCCCAATTCAATGCACGAGATTGTTGCTATTATATCCCAAAAGAAACCAGTAATACACCATTTTGCATCACAGACCTAATTGACTTCGATTTCCCAGATTAACAAGCAATAAATTCCATCATAAAAGCCTAATCAAATTCGAAAATCCAAACGAACAAACAAGCAGTAAGGCTGTCCAGGAGAAATTCAATTTGGGAGGTCCAGTTCTAGATTCCGAGCTTAAATCACAAGACCTACATACTTTCCACACTGTTGGCAGTATCTCTTGGTCTCTCCGTCGAGCACGACGGAGCTCGCGTTCGCGCACCGGAGGCAAACCCTATGCCTCCGATGGTAACCTTTGAGCTCGCTTATATCCGCTTCGCAACCCGGGACCTGGCACCGGGCCAAGCCTGAGCCGCCACGCCCGCCGCCCCGGACCCGCTTCTTCGTCGGAAGCTCCGCCTCCTCCAATCTCTGGTCGATCTCCGGGCACGAGCATGGGATCCTACCTTCCAGGAAATTCGAACAAGTCAACCGCGGGTCCCGCTTCCTCACCCGATCCGAACCCGAACTCGAGCCCGGGGAAGGATCCGATTCCGATTCCAGCGGTTGATTCTGCGGGGGAGGAGCGGCGGAGAACGGAGGTTGATCGGAGTCGAAGGAGACGAGAAGCCGATCGTCTAAGGCGAAGTCGAGGAGATCTCCCCAATCCCAGACGGCGGCGGATAACGCTGACGGGTCACCATCGACGATTGCCGGCGGTTGTAGCTCCATCTCCGGCGCCGATGACGAAGGCGACGCAGAGGACATCTCTGCGGAGATTTATTAAGAAATGGAAGAAAAAGACCGAGGCAATGGCGGTTAAGGAATTTGGTGACGCTAGTTGCAGGGTTTAGGTGAATTAAGGTAGAGAAAGCCATTAAAGAAAATGATGAATTTATCCTCTAATCCAATTTTTATTGTCTCAATTTAGTATTAAAATGTAAATGGATGTCCCTCTTTTCTGTTCAAAGATGTTTGTATTTTCTGCTGGAAAATAGTGATTTATTTTTAATATTTTCAATCAATAATCTTGTTTTAATTATTTTGATTTTATTTTAAAATTTTCATCTTAAAATGGAAGACTACATTATACTAGTGGAAGATTTTACAAGAGTTTCCGAACTTGACATCTTTATGTCTAATGACTCTTAACACAAAATAGTCAATTAAATTAAAATTTTTAAAATAAATCATCGTACGTAATATACAAATATTAAACACTTAAATACCATATCTAAAAAAATATTGCTATGATATTTTAACTGTTTTTAGTTTAAAATCTCAATTATCTATAAATATATAGATATATAAACTATTATATTATTATCTATCTATTTCAATCCAACTAAAAAATATTTTAAAAATGACTATTAATGCAAAAAATATATTTTAAATTGAATTAAAAGTAATTTATAGAAGATAGAGATTTTAATATTTTTTAGGTGTTTGTTTTAAAAAATATTAGTCAGTTATTTGATTGGCTATATTAGAAAAATGTTAATTTGGAGGCGGGGGGGAATATTTATTCGAGGAAGCAAGCACATTAGCAAATCCAGTTTTACGGGAGGCGAAGCGTGAGGGCGCAGCGGTTGAGAATGACGCGCGGATGCTAAAAAGATATCATCGCGTCGAAGGGACGCGAGCGGCGGAAGCGGAACCAACTGTTGTTGAAAACGACGGCGCATCGGCTCTGACTCGACTCAGACTCGAGGACGCGACTCTCTCTCTTGATCTCTCCTCATTCGTTTTCCCAATAATAACGGTAGATTTTTTTTTTGTTTTGGTCATATCCACTAAGAACGCGACACGTGTAGATTCCGTTATAAACCCCACTACTAGAAAGTAAGAAGCGTGATTAATTAATTGAAACAATACTTCAGATTATTTTTTTGTTTTGATAAAAATAAATATTCATTTGAACTTTTAAACATCTAGAAGTTCATTGATCATTTGGCTTAGAGATGATTGAACGGTTTCGCTACTTACCCACAATGAAAAGGATGTTGCAACAAAAGTTTCAAAATATTTATCATTCTACGAATATTTAAATCAAAATCAATCTATACATGACTAGCAAATAATATTATTGAATAATAGAATAGATGACACAAATTAGAGAATATTTCAAATAAATACAAAAAATGAGTTATACGTCCATAATTTTGTAATTCAACCAAATGGGCCGTAAAGATGAAAAATCAAATGGGCCATAAAGCCCATTAACGCGTCACTATTACGCCCATTAAGGGGCCTCGGGAACCGGCCTTTGACAAAGTGCTCTTTGTTATCAGTTTCCTTAATCTCTCCCGCCAAAATTCCTCTGTTGGCGTAACAATCCTCTTTCGCTGCTGCAACCTGCGATAGGGTTAGGATTTTTTTTTTTTGGGGCAAAATCCTAGGGTTTATTGGCTTCTGAATCAATCCAGAAGAAGCAAGAGCTACAGTGCCCGTCTGTAGATTCCTTCTAAGACGACAGTATTACTTTCACCATAAATGTTCTATTGTTTTAGAGCAAACGATACATTTTTTCCCCGCTTTCACCTGAAGCCCCTTGCTGGGTAAATAGAGAATGATCTAACGGAGAGTGACGGCAATTGTCGGCAGTAAACAAAGACTGGGTTTTAGGACAATTAGCAAAAGGGAAAAAAAAAAGAGATTGAAAAGCAAGGCATCTGCTTTACTGAAATGATGATCGGGCAGTAGAGAAGAGAGAAACAAACCCGAGTTCAACTCAGTCGAGAGGACAAGCTTTCTCGAAAGCAAGTTGCTCATTCCGACACAAATCGAACTCGTTGGTGTAGTAATACAGGCAACCCACATACGCATCCATCTCCTTCGTGCATTTCTGGTGAAGATCTTTCAGCCTGCATCCATCCCATTCAGTTCTACTGTGTTAAAAACCCCCTCCCCTCATCTCTCTCTCTCTCTATATATATATATTTCATGCAAATGCAAAATGCCATGTCATGTCATGCCATGCCACAAAAACCAACAACTGGGTCATGGACTACTTCTCAGGCTTCTTCCATCCGTCGTGTTACTCAGCTCTAAATCCTATATAGACAGTGGGCAGTGTGATTCACATGTACAGGCCTAGTGTGTGTTCTATGGATATAATGTGCTCAGAAATCACAAAGTAAACACCAATCCAAGGAAGTGTGAAAAGGTCAATAACCCCTAAACTTCAAACAAAAGACAAGTCTCCTAACAAAGATCCAAGTGAAGCAGATAGTTCGCCCTAAGGAAGAGGGGTCCAATCCAATCCGAGGAAATTAAAGTGAAGCAGACAGTTGACCCTAGTGAACTCATTTTAAACAAGACTACTATCTGGATTCCATGAAGGTCGGAATCTAAGCTGTCTTTGACCTAGTTGAGCCTATAGAACACTGTACTAAATCATTTCTTACTTCTTTGATGAACTGAGATTCCTCATGGCCACATGTCACAGGTGTAGTTAGACATAGTTACCTAAGAACCTTAACTTCTACCCATTTGACAAGCCACCGCTGATCCACAGAGTCACACTTACACTACATGATGATCATAACCCTAAATCTACTTCTTGGTATGAACCATATTCATCAACAACAAATAGCACAGATCGTACCGATCAATCAAACTCGCGAGTAAAAGGAACGAGAATGAGGTAGATTACGTACAGGCCAAGCGCGCAGCGAGTGACGTCACGCCCCTTGTCCAGGCACTTCTCCGGGTTAGAGTCATTCTTCTTGCATTTGAGGAATGCGACGTTCTCGGGCATGTACCTGACCCCTATGTGCTTCGCCAACGCCGTCAGAACCGACGACGTCGGAATCGGGTCCCCCGTCGCGTCCACCGCACTCGCCATCGCTCAGATTCCTAAATCCCTAACCCAAATCAATCAAATCCAAAAAAAAACGAACAGAGAATCAAAATTTCACAAATTCCCGCTCAATTGCAAGAAGTAGAAATAAATGAACAGACAACGAAGCTCGTCTGACACTTTTCTCCGGATCGACTTCGAGTCTTCTACCCCCCACAGAGAACAGAAGCAGCTGAGGAGAGGTAGAGAGAATGATAATACAGGCCCGGCAGTACAGTTTAATGGGCCTATGTGGGCCTAAGAAGGGTATATTGGGTCTAATTTATTAAAGCATAAAACTATACGTTTTGGGCTGATAATATGGACTCAGTTTCATCCTTCAGGCCCAACTTGGTTAACTAGGGCTCTTTTTCTCTCTCTCTTTTTTTTTCGCGCTTCATTCACGAGAAATTGCACCTGCAAGCTGTTCGTGCATTCTCCCTGCTGGTTGGAGTTGAAGAAAATTCTTGGGGAAATTGGTAAGAAAATACGTCATTGTGCGATCTTTTTTTCAGGTTTAAGAGCTAAATAAGTTCGATCAGTACTCGAAAGATGCTTCTTTTGCGTTTCATTTGATGATTTTGGTGCTAGTGATCTATCTGTCAGCGTGTTCAATCGGTGCCGTTGCTCAGAATCCCACGCGATTGCACCAAACGATAGGAATTTGCAATAGTTATCTGAATCAAATGTGAGAACTTTTGAGCTGACGCTTAGATGTGAAACTTGAGATGAAACGAAAAGGGTGAGCCTTTTTTTGGTTAAAAGGTCGGCCCTTTTTGTTTCTGTGCCCTTAACATTTGGTAAGGTCGGTGCTTTTTGTTTCTGTGCCCTTAACATTTGGTTATGTTGTGTCCGAACTCTGAAGTGTGTCCAACGATCCAAGTTCTTGGTAGTTTTGTTCTGTATAGTTCTAGAGGATTTTAGGTGGAAGATTGCAGTTTCTTTTTCACTTGGAATTAGGATTGGACTCTTGTAACCATTTGATCTCTCCCACCCTCCCGGCTCTCTTGTTGGATGTAGTGAGAAATGGGGGACAAGAAGAAGAAGACGTTCATGTTCATCCGTCTGGTCTCGGCTGCTGGGACAGGATTCTTCTATGTCAAGAGGAAAAGCAGCAAGAAGCTTCTAGAGAAGCTCGAGTTTCGGAAGTACGATCCCCGTGTTAACCGCCATGTGCTCTTCACCGAGCAGAAGATGAAGTGAGAGTTTGGGCTTTTTCTTTGTTTTCTCATTCACCCCCAAAACAACACGAAGTAAGTTGCTTTCAATCAAGAACTCGCCAGTCTGCTGCTCCTTTTCTTTTTTTTTTAAAAAATCACTAGTCTTGTTTGAAGTTGGTTCAGGACAAGCATTCACTTTGAGGTTTCCAAACACTTACAATGCAGTTTCATTAGATTCTGATTGTAATAATATCTGCCAGTCTGATTAGTTTTTCGCATATGGATGTAAGGTAAGTGTTTATTTTATATTCCTGGAAAAATGTTCATCTCTGATATGTGAGGTTTTCTGTACCCTTGCTGCAATTTCTTTGTCAGAATGATGATGATTGTGTTGTGAGTGTAAATCTCGAAATGCATATGATCAGTCTTTGATATGAAATAAAGCTAGTAGTATCTCTCATATACTACATTAACTTGGAGTATCCACACGCGCACACACACACACACACACATGTATATGTATATATACACAAATTTTCTAATATTAGATGATTTTTCTAATGGGGAAGAAGAAAGGAAGTCAACATTTTGACTCCAAAATTTCACGGGAAGTCCACGACCACGTTTCGATTAAAGAAAAAAGGCGGTTGTGAATAATAATATAACATGTGGAGATATAAAAGAGTACAAAAACAGAAGCTCAGATGAAGCAATGGAGTGATTTTCCCGGGAAAGTGACGGAAAATGACAAGAACAAGAGGCAACGAAGACTAATGTTCTCGTCATCTTCCTGGTGACTTCCGAATCAACGGTTTCAGAAAGGAGAGAGAGAATACTTAAAAAATCCTTAAACAAGATTAAGAAAATGATTACGTATACATAAATGCTAAAGGTGTCGCCTTTTTTGTCCTTTTTTTCTTATTGTGCATCGTTGTGACTTGTGGGTGTGGCAGTCAGCTGAAGTAACAAAGATCTCATCTTTTATAGATTTTGCTTACCTTACTCAGAATATCTGTCGAGGGTTAGGTTTCCTATAAAATTTTTATAAATTTATTTGTTTGATTGGTCCAATTGAAGATGCGAGAATCCGCAACAAAGCTACCCAGCAATGTAATGGCCGGAGATGATTCTTCTTCTTCTTCTTCTTCTTCTTCTTCTTCTTCTTCTTCTTCATCTCAGGTATTCAAAAAATCTGACTTTTGTCTCTTTTATACTTTTTTTTTTTCCGAACAAACTTCTGGGTTTGTGGATTTTGAGGTAAAGTTGACAACTCTCTCGCTCTCTCTGTTGACAGTTTGAATCTTAGATTTAACGGTAGAATATGAAGAATCGGTAGGAAACGTATCTGGGTTTTCTTCCGTTTTACACCAATTTTACTTTTTTCCATCTGGGAAATTTTGTTGGAAGGGCAGGTCGAGATGTCTGATTAACCATGGAAGTTCCTGTAAATCTAGGGTTTATCATTCTAGACCGAACGAGAGCGTGATCTCTGCGCTTTTTTCCTCTTGCTTTGGCGGTCTGGAATCCGAATTGATAAATCTGAACTACTCAATAGCCTTAGAGATTGCAGTGATGTGCATTTGTTTGCTCTAGAGAGAGAGGGAGGTTCACTTGTGGGAGATGTAATCTAAGCAATTATTATGACTTGACATGCCTTCATTTACTGCAGATATATTTTCCTTTTGATGAACATTAAACTGAGCACTTCTCAGTATCTGGTCATGAAGGCCTGAGATTTTTGAGATATATAGATATCATCATACCTTCTGGATAATGAAATCACTGGCAAGAGATTTTGTGTTCCTTGTCCGGGAAACAAGTTACGAATAGCTGACCGACTTATGCTTTCGTTCTTGGAGATAATGAATGGACACTAAAGGGCAAAGTACAGCCGGTGCACAGGGTTTGGGGAAGGGTCTCAGCGCACTGGTGTATTGTAGGTAAAACTTATCTTGCAGAATATTCCGCAAGAGGCAACTTCTAGGACTCGAATCCGTGACCTCTATAGGTCACATTTCACGACGACAACACCTTAACCAGTGCGTCAAGGCTCCCCTTCAGATAACGAATGGACAGTGTCAAGAAAAAATCCGATAATACAGAATAGTGAACCACATATTCACTCAAATAGCTGATGCTGTGTTTCTTTGCATATTGAGGAATGATATTGCAATCCATCTTGGTTTTTTGTCATGGATTTGTGGATGAGAAAGTCATGAACTTTGATGTGTACATACGTGTATAGGGTGATCATCAAGTTAAAGAAAGGAATACTGGAGATATCCCAAGTTCTGAGACGTGTGGAAAGCGAATGGATCTTTCAGTCCAAATTCCTCCAAGGCCCTCTACGGCTAGTGGCGGCCAGAATCCAAAAGGTTCATCATTGAAATCTCTAACTTCATTCAAAGGCAGTGGTTCATCGTCATATTCGGGAGGAATCTTGCGAAGTTTAAGCTTAAACAAGAAAGTTTCTGTACCCGACAGCGAGAAAAGCTTCCTATTAAGTCCCGGTCTTATGGGTTCCACCGAAATCCCCATTGCCACAGATTCATCGGTTTTGCCTTACTGGAAGAGATGCACTTCACTTCCTGCTACTCCTGCCACCAAATTGTCTCCGGCGATATCTCAACCTGTTTCAGCTAGAATGCCAGAAGAACAACCTAAAGCTAATGTGAGTAACCAACAGGTGTAGGATTAGTCCTGAATCTTTCATTACTAATTAGAAAATAGAGTTCCTTTCACTAAGGTTAATCCCTGTGTGAGTGAGTGCTGCTTTTCTGTTTCTTTGAAATGAATTTCCTTTCTTGTCCAAGCTTTAACTGAGAAAAGGAGAAACTTTCAAATGCAGAAAGATGTGGTCCGTCCAGCAGTTTCAAGATCAATTTCAATGCCCGGAAGAAACAAAGTGATCATAAGATCAATCTCTTTTGACAGCTGCAAAGAGCATGCTTCGACTGAGACCAGAAACGGTACATACTTAAAGACATTATCATCAATTCCTTTTTACAATCAGAATCTTAACTTGACGGAATTCGTCTTGTAGATATCTCAGCTGAGATGTGGACATGGATTTTAGGAACATTCTTGTTTTGTATGCAGTGTTTGCCATTCAGTTCATATTAGCTTCTGATCGATGAGTGGCCAATTTCTGATCCCTTGTCTTACATTTTGTAGAAACAATCCTTCGAAGACAAATTTTACCAGTCATTTCTTCTGTTTCATTTCTATATTGTGTTTTCCCGGGTACTTGTCTTCAGCTGATCAAACCACTCCGGTTCCTCCGCAAGATACGGATGAAGAAATCCCTGAGGAAGAAGCGGTATGCAGGATCTGTTTAGATGTGTGTGAAGAAGGTAACACTCTGAGGATGGAATGCAGCTGCAAAGGCGACCTCAGGCTCGTGCATGAAGAATGCGCCATTAAGTGGTTTAGGACGAAAAGGACGAGAATCTGTGATGTCTGCAGACAAGAAGTCCGGAACTTACCTGTGACTTTGCTCCGCGTCCCGTCCCATAGTCAAAACAGCAGACATGAACACAATCAACGGAGCATACAGACCCGATCCATCAGGTAATAACAATAACGAAATCTTTTTCATATTTGCCGTTGTGGAAAACGGGTTTTGGTGAGTGGATAATATTCGTGCAGCGCCTGGCAAGAGTTTATCGTGCTCGTTCTAGTCAGCTCGGTTTGCTACTTCTTCTTCCTTGAACAGTTACTGGTAACGCCAAAAAATTTCTCCCTTTCATCCTTTTCTCATTAGGAAGATTGTTAAGCAATTGCAAAAATGTGATGAAAGTTCGATGCTTTTTTGTAGATTCGTGACTTAGACACTCAAGCTATATTCATCGCTGCCCCGTTTGCATTTACTTTAGGCCTCTTAGCATCCGTTTTCGCTATCATTCTCGGTAAATTACCGCCCCGGAAAGCCTATTTTTTTCGTCCTTCATCGGTGATGAGATTAGATTTTAAAGCTGTAAATATCATTATCCAAATTTTGCAGCAATCAGAGAATACATATGGACATACGCAGCTCTCGAGTTTGCACTGGTGTGCTTGTTCTCTCATCTGCTATACGCCACGGTGCGTAAAAATTTCCGAATATTTCATCTTTCTCGTTTACTAATTCCGGTCTAATTGTTTGAAGCAAAGAATTCTCATGGCAAAGGTGTGTTTATTTTCAGGTGCGTCTACGTGCGAACTACGCGATAACGTTTGCGGGAATTCTTGGGTTCGGGATATCGGTGTGTCTAAACTCGTTGTACCTTTATTGTTACGCATGGCGTGTACGCGTTCATAGGCATAACTCGAATCCAGTGTGAGTCCGTCTTTGTTCTTCCCTCTGAGTTCGTGTCTGGAAGAGCAAAACAATGTCTGAAAACTCGGTGACTTGTAGATATGTATTGTTCATCTTAAAGGCAACGTGTGAGAGATTTTCGTCCGAGCACGAGGAATGGCTGCTGTTTTCTGTTTTTGGGCGTTAACTTGTTGCTGTTTTGTGTAAACCAAAACGCCATGTGTTCTTACTAGAATCTACACGGAAGCGCACGACGTTCTTATTTACGTCGTGGGTTGTTGACTCGGCCTGACTGAGCCCCGAGGGTTGGGTTGAAGGTCGCTCGTGGTTTCGCGTCGATAACACGAGACTTACTGCCGTTTAGTGGGAATGAAGACGACGCGCGTTCTTTCTGTTTGAGTCAAAAACAGCACGGCGTTTGGAATTTAAATATACAGTAGAACTGACAACGACTAACGAAGCTTCCTATGACAAAAGATTTTCTGCAATAAGATTATTCAATGGAAAAAAAAGAGGATGAGAGGCTCCAACTCGTTCAGAGCGCCATATCTCTTGTTCTTGTCCGTTTCAAGTTTACTAAATACGTTTGCTTCTCCTGCAAGTAACCTGTGTCGGCCCGACCAGAGGGAAGCTCTTCTGGAGTTCAAAAGCGAGTTTCGGATTCAGAAGATTGAGTTCCAGACAAGGATCATTTCGTATCCAAAGAAAAAATCATGGGAGAAGAGAATGGATTGTTGTTCCTGGGACGGTGTCAGGTGCGATCCCATGTCCGGTGAGGTGATCGAGTTAGACCTCAGTTGCAGCCGTCTTCACGGCCGTTTCAGATCAAACAGCAGTCTCTTTAAGCTGGGAAATCTTCGGGTTCTAAACCTCGCTTTCAACGATTTCGATTATTCTCCCGTCCCTGTTCAGTTGGGCGAGCTCGTTCGGTTAACTAAACTTAACCTCTCCTCTTCTTCCTTATCAGGTCAGATTCCGACCCAGATTATGCACTTAACCCAGTTAGAGTCTCTAGACTTAACTAGCTTCTGGTACCGTTCAGGCTTATCCGCTGAACACTTGTTCCTTAGTAAACTTGCCCAGAACTTGACGAACCTCAGAGAACTGCGCCTAGACTCTGTAGACATTTCTTCAGAAATCCCACAAAACTTGTTGAACCTGACCTCTCTGAGATCTCTCCACCTTAGTGGGTGCAACTTGTTCGGGAAATTCCCGGGCAATGTTCTTCGTATGCTTGGCATTCGATCCGTCAGGTTGTCCAACAACACAAATCTGAGAGGATCTCTTCCAGAGTTTCATGGGAATAGCTCACTGGAAACGTTGGATCTCTATGAAACTTCCTTTTCGGGCGGTATACCAAACACCATCGGCAGCCTCCAGAGTCTGAAATCTTTGCGGCTCAGCGGTTGCAATTTCTGTGGAAATATCCCTCCTCCGCTCGGAAACCTCTCATATCTCACCTCTGTCGACCTTTCGTCTAATAACTTTTCCGGCCAAATTCCGTCTTCTTTCGCCAACTTGAATCGCCTCGTGTCATTGGATCTCGGGGATAACGAATTCAGCGGTGACTTTCCTCTCGGATTCCTCAATATGACGAAGCTGTCTGAATTAAACCTTGGTGGTAATCAGTTCACAGGCTCGCTTCCGTCTAATATGAGTGTGTTGTCGAACCTGGAGTTACTTGCAGCGCACGAAAATTCTTTCGCTGGAACTTTGCCTTCGTCTCTATTCACGATGCCTTCACTGACTGTGATTTATTTGGTCGGGAATCAACTCAGCGGCCTTGATGATTTTGGGAATATGTCTTCCTCCTCGTCTAAGCTACGGCAATTATCCCTTGGCGACAACGATTTCAACGGGCCGATCCCGAGATCCATTTCGAAGCTGGTCGACCTCATATTGATCGAGCTTTCCTATTGGAACACAGGAGGAAACGCCGTCGATTTGCGTGTTTTCTCGTGTCTCAAGTCGCTCTTGTCTATTGACTTATCCTATCTGAACACGACGACCATACTTGACTTGAGTATATTATCTCCTCTGAACGAGCTTCAAGATTTGCGTCTCTCGGGCAACATTGTTGACAAGGTTAAACGTGTCCCTGTTTCTCAGTTTAGTTATTTGCTTTGAATTGGTATTTGGTTGTTTCATAAACGTCCGAGTCTTATGGGTTGTAAAAGCTCGGATTCGATTTCCTATTTCTTTGTTGATTCTGTTACAAGAGTTTCTATTTAATAAGATGAAAGGAAGGCCATGAGACATGTACTCTGGCAATTACAAAAACACGTCTCTGTTTCTTTTCTTCCAGTGTTTCTATTTGGATTTTTGCAGAAGTTTCGTTTCCCTCTGTCAAGTGGTATCAGAGCGGTGGTTGATCAAACACGCATGCCCAAATATATGTCGAGAATGGAATCATCAGGGAGTGCCGACCGAAGCGGAATCGGAGGCAATGGTGATCAGTCGACAACGACGGAGGTGAGGACTCCGACACGAGAGGGAAACCTGTCTCTGCAGTTTCCGATGCTTTCAAAAACCAATTATGACACATGGGCGATCAGGATGAAGGTGACGTTGAAGGCACAACGAGTATGGGAAGCTGTGTCCATAGAGGGACCAGTCGATCCTCAAATGGATATGATGGCACTCGCTGCCATATATCAGGGAATTCCAGAAGAAACATTGCGGCAGCTCGGTGACAAAGACACGGCGAAAGAAGCATGGGATGCTCTTAAGTCTATAAACCTTGGAGCAGATCGAATCAAGAAGGTTCGAGTGCAGTCTCTTCGAAGGGAGTTCGAGGGGATTTGTATGAAAGAAAGCGAGACAGTGGATGAGTACACTGGACGAGTCGCCACACTTGTGAACCAACTGAGAGCATTAGGCCAAAATGTTCCAGAGGTGCAAGTGGTGGAAAAAATGCTTAGATCTGTAACATCTAAGTTTATTCAGCTATCTTGGTCAATGGAGCAGTTTCAGGACTTGAGCAAGATGAGCGTGGAGGAAGTTACAGGATCTTTTAAAGCGCATGAGGAACGCTTGAAAGATCTCGACTCAAAAGGAGACGAACATGTCCTGCTTACGAAAGGAGAATGGAAAGCACGTGCAGAGTCTTCAAAGTCCAAAGGAAAGAAACCCCAAGAACAGAGTGGCACACGGGGTCGAGGCCGCGGACGTGGCAGAGGACGCGGTTCTGGCAGAGGAAATTGGCGAGGACGTGGACGTGGTTATCCCGGTGGTGGCAGAGGTCAGAGTGAGGATGAGAATCAGAAATTCGACATCACAAAGGTACAATGTTACAATTGTGAAGAATATGGCCATTTTCAAGCAAATTGCAAGTCTGATCGAAAGAATGATAAAGCTCATTTGGTGGAGAATGTGGATGATGAATCCACCTTATTAATGCTGGAAACAAGTGAACTAATTCATGTTGATGAGACGCTGGAAGGCGAGTTGCTGCTAAATGAGGAACGGACAATTCCGAAATTCAGTTCGGATGAATTAAGTTCAAAAGAAGAAATCTGGTACTATGATACCGGAGCGAGCAATCATATGACGGGAAATCGATCAGCTTTATCAAATCTGGATGAATCTGTAAAAGGGAAAGTCAGATTCGGAGATGGCTCGGTAATAAACGTTGAAGGACGAGGAACGGCAGTGTTCGAGTGTAAGAATGGTGACCGTTTCAATCTCACCAACGTTTATTACATACCTCGGCTCAGATCCAATATTATCAGTCTTGGTCAACTTGATGAGTCTGGAGCAAAAGTGGAAGTGTGCAGAGGCGTTCTGAAGGTCTATGATCAGAAGAACACATTGATAGCCAAAGTTCACAGAGGTACGAATCGGTTATATACCATGAAAATGTCGCAGGTGAAAGTTGAGTGTCATTTGACAAAGACATCTGAAATGTCGAGTCTGTGGCATTCGCGGTTTGGACATCTGAACTCTTTGGAGAAGCTTGCACGGGACAAGCTAGTAAAAGGGCTGCCAGAAATCGAGCAACCGCGAGAAACTTGTGAAAACTGTGTTTTGAGCAAACAACACAGGACAAGCTTTCCAAAAGCAGGACAATATCAAACTAAGCAGCCATTGGAACTGCTTCATGGTGATGTTTGTGGGCCAATATCACCTACAACGCTCGGCGGAAACAGGTACTTTCTATTGCTCGTTGATGATTGCAGTAGATATATGTGGATTGAGTTGCTCAAAACAAAATCTGAAGCACTTTCTGCATTCAAGAAAGTGAAAGCTGAAATTGAGCTAGAATATGGTCATAAGATCAAGATTTTCAGATCTGATAGAGGCGGAGAATTTACGTCTAACGAGTTCAAAAGTTTCTGTGAGATGCATGGTATTAGGCGACAGTATACAGCTCCGTATTCGCCACAGCAGAACGGAGTGGTTGAACGACGAAATCAGACTGTAGTCGAAATGATGAGATGTTTGTTGAGAGGCAGGAATGTACCTGCGTTATTTTGGGCCGAGGCAGCACGGACAGCAGTGTATATTCTGAACCGATCGCCGACCAAGAGCATACAGGGAATGACACCATACCAGATATGGAAAGGAAGGGCACCTAAAATTCAGCATCTTCGAGTGTTCGGATGCATCGCATATGCCAAGAACGTCAAACCTCACCTTCCAAAACTCGAAGACAGAAGTGCAAAGCTTGTATTCCTTGGTTATGAACCTGGTTCCAAAGCTTATCGACTGCTAAATCCAGGTAATAACCACGTCATTATCAGTCGTGATGTTGTATTTCAGGAGGAGGAGAAATGGAATTGGCAGAACCTGAAAACAACATCAGACACAACCACTGGGTCATTAATCATTGCATACAAAGGCATGCAAGAAGGTCCATATTATTCTGGAGATCAAGCTCCGGAAATGCCGGAAATGCAGAATCAGCCCGAACTTGAGTCTGCCACTGAACCTGTCACGCCGATTATGTCTGATCGGGAACATCTATCCGTAATTGGTACAGATCGCGATGTTGACTTGGAATCCGGAGGAGTTGCCGACTCTGGCTCCTCTGAAAGACCCAGAAAATACAGAAGTCTGCAGGAACTGTATGACAATACAGTCGAAATCGATCAAGACAACATGGAGCTGCATCTAATGGCAGCTGAGGAACCAGTAACTTACGACGAAGCAGCCTGCACTGAAGAATGGCGACAGGCCATGGCAGAAGAAGTAGAAGCAATTCGAAGAAATGGAACATGGGAGTTGTCTGAGTTACCTAAAGGTCAAAAAGCCATTGGTCTAAAATGGATTTTTAAACTCAAGAAAAATCCAGAAGGGAAGATTGTGAAGTACAAAGCTCGGATTGTGGCAAAGGGCTATGTACAACAAAAGGGAATTGATTACGAAGAGGTGTTTGCACCGGTGGCTCGGTTGGAAACAATCAGGCTGTTATTGGCTCTGGCGGCTAAAAATGGCTGGCGTGTTCACCACATGGACGTGAAATCTGCGTTCTTGAATGGAGAACTGGAGGAAGAAGTGTACGTAACTCAACCCATCGGTTTCATTGAAAAAGGTCACGAGCAAAAGGTATTACGGCTCAAGAAAGCACTGTATGGCTTAAAACAAGCCCCACGGACTTGGAATGCAAAGCTGGACAAGTGCTTGCAGGGTCTAGGATATGAGAAATGCTTACTTGAACATGCTGTTTACAGGAAAGTAAAAGCAGGGGATATCCAAATTATTGGGGTTTATGTTGATGACCTAATAATTTTGGGTTCAAATCCTCAGGAGGTGAAGAAGTTCAAGGAGCAAATGAAGGAGACATTTGAGATGAGTGATCTCGGATCGTTAAGCTATTATCTGGGTATAGAAGTCAAACAAAGAGCAGGAGACATCAGTTTGTGTCAGACCAAGTATGCAGAAAAAATTCTGGAACGGGCTGGTTTGGGAGATTGCAAACCGTGTCGGCTTCCCATGGACACGAGAGTCAAATTGAGCAAGGAGGATGAAAGCTCTCCCGTCGATGCCACTTTCTACAGGAGCACAGTAGGAAGTCTGCGATATTTGGTAAACACACGCCCAGACATAGCATTTTCGGTCGGAGTAGTAAGTCGGTTTATGGAGAACCCGACAACAAGGCATATGGCAGCAGTCAAACAAATCCTTCGATATATCAGAGGAACGTTGAGTTATGGCTGCAAATACATGAGAGGGAAATCAAAGGAGCTGAGCTTGATCGGATATTGCGACAGCGACTTGGCAGGAGACATCGACGATCGGAAAAGTACGACCGGCGTGATATATTTTCTGGGAAGCAGTCCTATCGTCTGGATGTCTCAGAAACAGAAGGTAGTGGCATTGTCTTCATGTGAGGCTGAATATGTGGCAGCCACTGCAGCAGCTTGCCAAGGAATTTGGCTCAAACGATTGTTGAAAGAACTTCAGATCGGCGATGTCGGAAAGGTCGAACTGAAAGTTGATAACAAATCTGCCATCGCTTTATCGAAGAATCCTGTTCATCACAACCGTAGCAAGCACATTGATCTCAGGTACCACTTCATTAGAGACTGTGTGCAGAAAGGAGAAATCGAGGTGGAATATATCAAGACACAGGAGCAGCTCGCGGATATTCTGACGAAGCCAATGGGACGAGACAGATTGCAGTGGCTTAACGACATGATTGGGATCGGAGATCGTAAGGAGCAGGAACACGCTTAAGGAGGTGATTGACAAGGTTAAACGTGTCCCTGTTTCTCAGTTTAGTTATTTGCTTTGAATTGGTATTTGGTTGTTTCATAAACGTCCGAGTCTTATGGGTTGTAAAAGCTCGGATTCGATTTCCTATTTCTTTGTTGATTCTGTTACAAGAGTTTCTATTTAATAAGATGAAAGGAAGGCCATGAGACATGTACTCTGGCAATTACAAAAACACGTCTCTGTTTCTTTTCTTCCAGTGTTTCTATTTGGGTTTTTGCAGAAGTTTCGTTTCCCTCTGTCAATTGTATCAACAGCTAACGTGAGTTCAACCTCCGGGTTTGCGTCGGAACTGGTGCGACTGCTTTTGTCCGGCTGCAACATTACCGAGTTTCCAGAGTTCGTCAGTTCTCAACGAGATATGTTGAATCTAGACCTTTCCAACAACAAGATCCGAGGTGAAATACCAGACTGGTTATGGAGACTGCCACAGTTGAACGTCTTGAACCTGTCCCACAACGCTTTCAGCAGTTTCCATGGATCGTTGGAAGGTTTCCCTGCGACAATTCTGGTTTCTGTAGATATAAGCTCAAACATGTTCCAAGGACCACTTTTTGTCCCATCACGGTATCTCCGCTATCTGTCTGCAAAAGGAAATCATTTCAGCGGAGAGATTCCGGAATCGATATGTGCCTCGAGCTTTATGAGAATCCTCGATTTATCCAACAACAGCTTCACGGGCTCGATTCCTTGGTGCTTACGGAACCTCCAGAGTGATCTTGCGGTTATGAACCTTGGTCATAATCACCTGAGCGGAAGTTTTCCAGACATGTTTGCCAATGGAAACAGCCTGGAATCACTTGATGTTAGTCACAACCGATTGGGCGGAAAACTTCCTAAATCTCTGATCAATTGCACCCGTCTGGAAATCCTAAACGTGGGAAGCAACAGAATCAGAGACTCCTTCCCCTTGTGGTTGAAGTCTTTGCAAGAGTTACAGGTTCTTGTCCTTCGCTCGAATGAGTTTCATGGTACAATCTGTGGTCTTACCGAGCTTCCCTTCGGGTTCCCTAAGCTACGAGTCATCGACATATCGCACAATCAGTTCCTCGGAGCTTTACCGTCTGGTTTCTTTGCGAATCTGAAGGCGATGGTAAGGGTTGGGCCTGCCGAAAATGGTTCGGAGTCGATGTATATGCAGGCTGGCTTAGGCTACTATCACGATTCGATAGTTTTGACGAATAAAGGAGTGCAGCTGGAGTACACACGGATCCTTACAGTCCTAACGGCCATCGATTTTTCGGGAAACAGACTCCACGGAGAGATTCCTCAATCCATCGGGTTACTGAAGGACCTTAGACGCTCAGCCTATCGAACAACGATTTCTCGGGCCACGTTCCGGCATGTTTGACGAACCTGACAAAGCTCGAGTCACTAGACTTGTCTCGGAACGAGCTCTCGGGGAAAATCCCTCCGCAGCTCGGAAGCATGTGGTCACTGGCGTACATGAACTTCTCCAATAACCAGCTGGAAGGTCCGATACCGCAGGGCCCACAGTTCGACACGCAAGAGCGTTCTTCGTTCGAGCACAATCTCGGACTGTGCGGTCCTCCGCTCGGGGAAAGTTGCGGAGAAGCGAAGACACGGATAATGCATCAACCTGAAGAGAAAGAAGAGGCGTTGAGTTGGAAAGCGGCCGTGATAGGGTTTGGACCTGGTCTCTTTCTCGGAGTCGTCATCCAACACATTTTGTTTCCTCGCAAGTGAGCGCGCGAACGGTTCGTGAAGGTTTCCATTTCACTTGCAATACAATCTTAATACGATGGTCCCTTTATTCTCACAAACGTTGAATAATGTATGTTTCCTGTATAAAAGATATTTTGGTATTTAACAAATCACCGCAGATTTTTAAAATAAAAAATAAAAAAGGGAGGCTGAATATTCCGTATCTTACTACTGAATAAAATTACAACAGAATTGATCAAATGATCATCGATTGCAAAAGGTGGGGCATTCCGAGAATCGAACTCGGGACCTCTCGCACCCAAAGCGAGAATCATACCACTAGACCAAATGCCCTTGCCTGGATAAATTAACTTTCAAATTTTAACAACAATACGAACGAAACCTAGTAACAAAAGCAGGAAAAGATTCATGTTCTGTC